CTCTATAGCCCCATTCATCTGTCTTTTTTTTTCCTTCTGCTGATATCATTTCAGAAAATTCAAGTGGGTGGCTTTTAATGTCCTCTATCTCATTGTCCCCTGGACTTGTCCTGGGTGGACATGAGGTCTGGGGTTGCATTTTGCTTCCATGTCTTGTCATTTTCTATTTTTAATTTTAATTTGTTTTCTATGTTGGTACTTGCAAATTGCTTATGGTAGGTTGCTTTATCACTAGTATCTGGGAAATGTCTCTTCCTCAGAAATGTCTTCTAGGTATAGCTAATTCTTGGCCTTTGTGTCTGTCCCAAGATCCTACCTTTCCAATTTATTAGGAATGAGAAGTTGCTATTTATTTGGTCCAGCATCCTGATCATATGGAAGGGGACAGGATTCTAATGGTGAGGATTTCAGATTGGCTACCATGGAACACGTGTTGTAAAAACAGGTACAATCCTGTTAACTAGCCTGTTACTTCATGTTAAGTATTTCTCATCTTGGTTTTATGTTCACCCTTGACTAGTCAAACAAGCTCTTTTTGACTCATTTCTTTTTTTTAAATTTTTTTATACTGAGGATCAAACTCGGGTCCTCGCGCTTGCAGAGCAGGCGGTGGAACCACTGAACTAAATCCCAGGCCCTAGAAAAACTCTTTTTAATTGCCACTCTTCAGGGTCCAGAAGAAGGGCTGTTTATACTAAAATGCACTTGGTCTATTTGCCCTAGTATTATCTGCAGTCCAAGTGTACTAGGTTCCAAGACTGGTCAAGACTGAGATATATTTTGATATTCAATACTTGAAAAAAGGTAAATGTTGTTTATTACATGTTTTTTGTGTAATAATGAAATTATCTATAAAACAATGTTGAAATAGAAAATGAGAAAATTATACTTACCACAATAAATAAAAACATTGCAAAAACATTTAACTTATCATGTGAGCTTTTCTTTAAGAAACAGATGAATTCATTCTTATCTTTTAGTTAGTTTCCACTGCATTAATCTTTTCTAGTGAAGTATTTTGTAATTATGCCAAGATATTTGACTATATTTTCTTTACTATTTGACACAATATACCATGACCTTGTAGTTACTGTGTTCCTACTAATTGCCAAATTATAATACTGTGTTCTTTTCAAGGAAGTAGCTCTATTTTGCTATTTTGATAGTTGATGTAAAATAATGACTCTGCTTTAAAGAAAATAGTTTATTCTGATCCAAATATGAATGACCATGGCTAGGGAATACAGAGTAAACTTATCCCAAATAGCATGTTTCAGGGTGGATGAGGTCACTTGGGCTGTTATAGTCACAGAACAAAAGAAAATTATAGATTAATACATTTGCTAATGACGTTGGTGCAAGCATAAGGAATTTCCTCTGTAGGTTTGAGATGGTGTTTTGTAGCCTTCCTAGTTCAAGGGTTGGTGGAAAATAGAGGTTTCCTAAGCTTAAAAATACATTCCAAGAAGTTTACATAATAGTCACATGACTGTTAGGTCACATACAAAATCTTAGGTAAATGACTTTTTTTCCCCAGTACTGAGGATTGAACTCAGGACCTTGCACTTGCCAGGCAGGTACAATGCCATTGAGATATATCCCTGGCCTGCATAGGTAAAAGGCTTTAAATTTTTTTTTATTTTATTGGTACATTTTAGGTATACAATATAATGACACTCATCATTGAAAATTTGTACCTTTACATAATCTCTCTTGGTTCTTATTTTTTGCCCTTCCCCTGCCCTCCCTTCAACCCCTCCATTCCTCCCTATTTACAAACACTTTGTTTCCATTTTTCATTTTCTCATATTAATTCTATTCCCTTCTTTCCTTTCCCCTACCCCTCCCACTTCCCCTTCCCCTTTGCCCCTTTGCTTCCTATTTCACATTATTATACCTTTTAGTTCTTATTTACACTTTCAGTTTCTCACACTAGAGAAACTATTTCGTATTTATACATGTGTGTCCTATTAATTTTACTTAAGAGTATCACTTCAATGTGCATCCATTTAGCTATAAATGTCTCTAATTTCTCACTTTTTATGGCTGAGTAGTACTCCATTATATAAAAAAACCACATTTTCTTTATCCAGTCTCCAGTTGATGGGCACTTGGGCTGTTTCCAAGTTTTAGCTATTACAAATTGTGCTGCTATGGACATGGGTGCACATATATCACTGTGGTATGATTCATTTAATTTTTTGGGGAAGATACCCAGCATGGGAATGGCTGGATCAAATGGGACTTCCAGTCCTAGTTCTCTGAGGTATCCCCATACTGATTTCCACAGTGGTTGCACCAGTCTATACTCTCACCAGCAGTGGAGCAGGATTCCTCTTTCCCCACAGCCTCGCCAGCATTTGTTATTGGTTGATTTCATGAGAGCAGCC